AGAAGGTGGTCATAGAGATTGGATTTTTGATATGTGTTGGTTAGATGATGAATTTTTAGTTTCTGGTTCTAGAGATACCAAAATGGCTTTATGGCGTATAGATAATGATCTTGCTGAAGCTCCTGATAAAGCAGATGTGCCAACGCATAGGTATATAAAATAAAAATTATATTTGTATTATATATTATAAAATATTATAAAAATATATAAAATATAAACAAACATATTAATAAATATATTTTATAAATATATTATTATTTTTTTTATATTAGGTTGATTCAACCTGTGTGTGTTAAGGAATGTAGATCTGCACAAAAAGTACGAGCTCTTGTCTTCAATAGAACATATAAAGAAATTGCTGCTATTACTCTGAATAATTTCATTCACATTTGGTCTGCTGAGACTTTTAGACAAAAGATATCTAGAAAATTACCAGTTTGTCAAGAAAATGTTTGTCTTGCTGTACAAGATGATGGTGTTTATGCTGTAGGATGCCGTTCATATACTTTACTTTTAGATGCAAGAACTGTGCAACCTATAAAAAGAATACCTTCACGGTATATAACATTATTTCAATTTCTTCAAATTTATTATAACTTATGATTTTTTTTTTTATTCGATCATAATATTTTTTTTATAGATATAGCGGTTGTGGAATTCGATCTGTTAGTTTTCAAGGTTCTGTTTTAACCATTGGAACAGGCTTAGGAATGATGTTCTTTTATGATGTTAGAGCTCAAAAGTATCTTGAATCATCAATTAATTCTAACAGAATTGTTGTATTAAAAGCATCAAAAGGATATGTGGTATGTTTTAAAATTCCTTTTTTTTTTTAATTAAGTGTAGTAAACTATTCAAATTGTTTAAAAATTTATTTAAGAATTTTTTTTTCTTTTTATATATATATGATTGAGTTAATATTAATATTAATCATAATATTTTTTCATAATAATATCAGTTTCCTGATGAAGAGTACATAGACGGATTTCAAAATGTAAAATATACACCTGCTATATATACTCATTGTTATGATGGATCAGGAACTCGATTATTCACCGCTGGTGGACCTCTTCCCGTAAATCTTTATGGTAATTATGCAGGATTATGGCAATAAAGTTAATTTTAATCAATAAAAGATCCGCATCGATTTTTACGTAAGTAACTATAAATTGTACATTTAACTAAATATTATTAAAATTTTATCTCAAGAGGTATATACACCATAGACTTAAGAAACGTTTTCTGGTCATTATCATCTTGTATATTCATGTTTGTATAATTTCATTTTCTTTCGATTTTATTATATGAAAGTGAGATGTAAACAATTTTATTTAGGCATTAAAATTTTAAGATAATAATATACACTTTTCAAAGATTTTTATACTTTATGAATAAATGAAGAAGAACGAATGATGAAAAGATTTTATAATTAGAGGTGTATATATCTCAACTGCCTGATAAAATAAGTGATACAAATAAATATATCCAATTTTTTATCATTTCAATTGTATATTGACTCTGAAAGTGATTTTCATTGAACAATTTCATATTACTAATCAATTATATCAACATGTTTGTATGCAATGTGAAAAGAACCAAATTTGACGTATTAATACATTATTGTATATTTAAAATTAATATGTGGTGAATGATAATTTTATGATTGACATGATTTATGTTATGACTTTATTATCAGCTTATTGTAAAATTATTAAGCTATTTCTTTTAATATAAAATTTTGCTCTAGTATTATTTATTATATTTGAAATCTAACAAATTATTGAATAAAGATCTCTTATAGAAAATCAATGCATTTTAAAAAAAAGCACATTATTACAAGTTATGATTACTTATTTAAATTTTTGTCATCTGCATACAGTGTAGCGTTTGTAATTCTTATTGTACATTTCTACATCTGTACAATAGAAATAAAAATTTTTAAAATTAATCAACGAATGACACTGCAATGAACATTAAGTTTCTTAGATGCAATCTATCAAGTTGAAATTTTAATACTGGCCTTAAGAGAACAATACACAATGAATATTTGTTATAAAAAATTTATTTTAAGAAAAACAATATCTATTAAAATCTTTATAATGTATTTCTATATATCATATAGAATGTCAAACATATATAATTTTAGTCAATGCATGAATTATAAAACAATATTTTATAAATGTGCATAGCAATTGTTAATATTCTGTTAAATCGAAGATTTAAAAAATATATTCAGTTTATTAATTTAAATTAATTATTTTTTTTAATAATTTTTTTCGTTAATATCATTGTACATATATAATGTTAAATTTATTAATTGTAATAATTCGTATTTGATGTATAAAGATAAGTACAAATAGATGAAATTATAAATTCATTGAAATTAATTATGATATATGATATAATTTTATGATATTGAAATATCAAAAGAAATCAGCTGTGCACATTTGCAATTAGAAAACATTATATATACACAATCTGCGATAAATTTCTTTTTTTATATATAATTCATCAAATGTATTTTCAATGAATGAATTGTAATAATGTTAATTATCCAGAATCATTTTATATTTAATTAAATAGATTTATGTCTAATTTTTGAGATAAATGATATTTTTAAATTTTGGTGTACTTAAATGATCAAGTAAGTTCACCAATTTGTTTTATGTATGAAATTTGTTGATATAATAAAAAAATGCAAGTGCATTTTCAATACTTAGAATAAAACATTTTAATGGATCAAGAAATCGTTGACATATAAACAATAAACAATTGAATTATTAGTATATCTCAGTGAATACATGTATATCTGATAACAAATTATATTCTGTTTATATTAACAGATTATAAATTGTTAACATTTATTCATAATATCATTGCATTACATAATGAATAAAAATGTGTGTTGTATTTATAAATTCATGATTAGATTGTACGAACATGTATATGATCATGCATAATGAATGAATACATTGAATACATTTTAATACAATTATCACATGTACTTTTACTATAAATACTTCAAACATTACTATTATAATACAATGTTACAAACTATCCATAATTTTATTTTTTGATGTATGCAGTAATTTTATATATTTCAGAGTATACACTTTCAAAGTAATTATTAATTTTAACTCGCAAAAATCATTCTTTTCCATATAAAATTTTCAAATGACTTCAAATATTGTCCATATTAATACGTCCTAATTTTCATACTAATATCATTTAAACAAAACAAATCTAAGTATCATGTAATTTAACTCAAATAATGCAATAGGAAAAATATACATAAATAATTTTTATACATAAACTATAAATATAAGTTATAAAAAAAAATTTATACAGGTACAATTACTGCATTGCTGTATCAGAAAATATTTTTCGTGTATTATGCTTAGCATGTGAAAAAAATTTTGTGAAAAAATTATAATATATTAGAGTAATTTAAAAATAATTATCTTTTAATAATTTTTTTCAATTTTCTTCAATCTTTTCTAAGATGTTTTATATATATCATATATTTCTTTTTCTGTATCACAAGAATATATTTAGATTTGTTGAATATAATTCAATATGTTTTATTATATCTGTAATAAAACACTTCTCAAAAATTATTTATAACTTATGTAAGAATAATACGAATAATATGTAAATTGGTTATAAACTTATTTAAAATTTTGTTTTAAAAATTACATCCTTTAATGTTAGAAAAATATCCAGTGCAATTAATATGTATATGTAAAAATTTCTTATAAATTACAATTAGATTATTTTCGTTGTTTCTGTTTTTTAATTAAAGTATTATAACAATTTTAAGCAAATATATATTTCGCTAGAATCAATTATAAAATGTATGTTATTGTTTCTTTACTTTTATTTGATATTTAAAATATTAAATATTTCATACAGGCAGTGCTATTTGATAGATGAATAAACTGCATTAATTTTATGTATGTGCGTGCGAGTGTGTGCGTTAAATAATTCATGTAAATAAATATATCAAATCATTAATTACAATTGTGTTTATCAGTTTTTCTTTGAAAGAATTAGAAATAAATATTCAGGGAAAAAGTAATTCCTCTTATTATAAATAATTTATTAATATATATCAATACAAGATTTTTATTTCATTTAGAATCATCACAAATAATGTGTAAAGAGTGTATAATTTATACAAAACACGCAACACTGCGACATACTTGTAATACATGTGATGTAAATATTTTTCAATTCAATTATCGAGGCTTAGCCACTATATTAGATATGTCGTGTCAAAAATGTATTGAGGCGTATAGTAACAGGAGAAAATTTATCTTCATAGATTACTCGTCGATATGTCAAAGTATAGCTTGACGAGTAAAAAAAATATTTTAGAGCACATATTTTTTAGTGCATTCTCAGTAATGACAAATTGCTTTTTTGATACGCTATTTTGTTAAGATTAACATAATCTACCATAATTACTATAAACCCATTTTTGGGTATAAATAAGCTCATTTCTTTTTTTTTTTTTTGGTATAGATTGACAATTGGTATTCTAACGCATAATTATTGTAAATAAATATACTGATCATAACAATATACATTCTGAAAATAAATAGAGTATTTCACAATTATTGCATAAATTGGTGAGCACTACTGTGAAATCGATCGATTTTCACGGGAAACATCATATTTCAAAATCCTTTCATATCAAAAACATATTTATCATTATTTTTTATTATACAGGCGACTGTAAATAATTGATATCACACATACATTGGATTTCTTTTTTTGATTTTTTTTCTTTCTTTTTTTTTTTTTTTTTTTTTTTTAAAAAAAAAAAAAAAAATTTTTCTTATATTTGCAAAAAAAAAATTAAGGGAAAAAAAAAACTTCCCCCCCTAATTTTTTTTTGAAAAAAAAAAAAAAAAATTTTTCTTATATTTGCAAAAAAAAAATTAAGGGAAAAAAAAAACTTCCCCCCCTAATTTTTTTTTGAAAAAAAAAAAAAAAAATTTTTTTTTTTTTTTTTTTTTTTTTTTTCAAAAAATAATTAGGGAGGAAAGTTATTATCTTCCCTTAATTATCTTTTAGCAAATATAAGTATAATTTTTGTTCATGCTCCCCATTGATTGCAAAAATTCAGTCGCGTTTTAAAAAAAAATCAAAGATGCCCAGCATCTAAGGCCTTATTTATATCACTAACTAGCATTCCAAGGATAGGTCTATGTTCCGAATCTTGTCTAAAAACGGAATCCAAGAAATCGGAATGCGTTAAGAAATCGAACACTTGATCACATCGATCTTGAGATTTATCTGTAAGATGTGGTTTTATAAATGTTTGTATTGCAGTTCTGCATCGTTCTAATGATTTTATTAAATACGCCCTATCGAAACTGAATTCTAATTCATAAAATGAAACCACAGACATGGCTACAGCTCTAAGGGCAGTTCTTATTTCGGCAAGTTTTGCATCATCGGTAACGTTTAATTGTTGATTACGTTGTAAAAGACCCACCTAAAATGGATGTAATTAAATGAAAGACATATTGATAAAATCTTGTTGAAAAAATCACAATTGCACTTATATCAATAAGTATAGAGAGAAGAACACGTACTTTAATGGATAATTTAACAATATTTTTTAAAACCTTTTCAGGCTGCTTCTTGTCTAAACTAGGATTAGTTTTTGCAGCTCTTTCCATAAGTTTATAAAGATTATCCAGAAGTGATGTAGTAGCATCATCTATCAACAGTGATCTTCCGGCTCCTGTAGATACGACTCTGCCAAGAAGTTTTTTTTGCGCTCGAAGACCTAAATCACGAGCGCGACTTCCGGTGCCTCCGGCGGGATAAGATCCCCCGTTCAATGTAGTCGCCGACTGCATCACTGGAAAAAAAATTACAAGCGTTGTACCATCTGCTTGGCAAGATGGGGTTGAATAATGGTTCTTTTGTGAATAAATTTTATACAATGTACATTATTAGAAAAGTTGACAAAGCTAATTTCTCTGTATATTATAATAATATAATGTAAGTATTTAAAATTGTGAATATAATATGTAAGTATTTAAAAAGTCGTAAGATTTTATATACATATGGATTTGTCAAAAATTATTTATTCATAATTATTATGAAATAAGATTATAAATTTGCAATTAATAAATATTGGAAATTAGAAAAATTGGTAAAAAATTCTACAAGGATTAATAATATGGAATTCGAAGAAGAACTTCCTCATATATGATATATATAATATTATGCATAAAAAATAAAGGATACAAAATTATAATAAATTATATAAATATATAATGTTCACATTCATATTAGTATACAATATATATGTATCAATATATATATATATATATATCATATATATATACATATATATCAATATATATATGTATCTATAATACAAACTTTAATTTATAGATTTTTTATTAGAATTTTTTTTTAAATATTTAATATATTTATTTTGATTAAAGTAATATAAAGTAAGATTTATTTTATTATTAATATATCAACATAAATATTGTGAAAATAATAGTATATATAATGTGCGTGTGATCAGAACTTACCATCAAACATTGGTAGACCGCTGTTTCCTCTAGGCGATAACGGGATTATGAATGAAATAAAGAAGTGTTCTGTGAGCACAGTCGAAACTCAGGCAAAAGTAACTAAAATAAGCAAGGATGTAAAACGAATCAATATAATTTGACGCAAAATATACATGTATAAAACAATATTATATTCAGAAATTAAATGAGCAACATAGAATGATGTTGCGTGTTGTGCAAATGCGTTCGTGCTTGTGTTCTTATTCGTGGGAACGAATCAGAGCATCATACAGTTAACATTTGTGTACCTTGATTGCAGTCGGTTACGGCTACAAGATGATAGAGCAGCCAGCTCTGCAATTCCATTACTGCCGTACCCCACGCCACCTGAAAAAATATATTTAATATATTAATATATAGAAAATATGATATAAAAATTATTTTATTCTTTATTAAATTATAAAGATAATAAAATTAAATTAATTAATAAAATTATATTTACAAATAAAATGATTTATAATGATAAATGCTAAAATTATTTTTATTTTTATTGCAAAATTTTAATTAGTAATAATAAAAATGAAACTTCATAAATTAGAAAGACTTATAAAAATATTATTATCATTTCTGATTCAATTATTTATTTAAATATAAAAATAAAATGCGAACTAAATGCAATTATATATTTTTGATTAAATATTATATATATATGTACAATATGATTTAAAAAATTCTTAAAATTTCAAAATTTATGTACTTTTGAATTTGAATTTAAATTATAATACAATTTATTTAATAAATATATAATATAATTAATTATATTTTAAATTGATTGAAAATATCTCTAATATATTCATTATTAAATGAAGATGTTTAGATTTAATTCAACAATTATAAAAATTATTCAAATAAATAAAGTATCCCGATTTTTTAAATTATTTTTAAAAATTTCATTATTAAACTCTACTTCTTTACTATAGAATAAATTATATTATTACAAAATTGATATGAATATATGTAAAAAAGAAAGTAAGAAAAATTGGCGGGTGAAAGATTAAATAGGTTGAAGCACATATACTCCCTCATTCGTGCAATTTATGTCAGTAACTGAGGTCAAACTCGATACACTGGAAATGGAACGTAAAGTGCGTTGTAGTTTGTTGTCGCAAGACATAATCGTATATATGTATACAAACGCACATATATACACATCGAAAAGATATAGCCATATGGAAGTTGGATCGATTTGTAAGGAGCGTCAAGGCAAGCCAGAGACTCTCATTCTCGTTTGTCGATGTAATATTGTAAATGAAATAAATGTACGTGATAGAATAATCTTGACAGTTAATATCAGTCAAATATTTGAAAAAAGTCTTCATTTAATCTTGAATCAAACTTTTAAAGATTTTAACTTATAAAAAGAGTATTCACTTATACTAGTATGTCAAAATCGCTTTTAAACGCATTAGATTTATCGAAACAGTGAAATCATCATCTCTACATGTGATTCAATCTAATGTTTCGATTTATTATTAAAAAGATTCAGATCAATCTCATAGAGATCGTTCACATATTATATAAAAAATAAAAATAAATAAATGGTATTATAGCAAATCAATTTTTTTTATCTACCAAAATTTTAAAATTAAAAAGTTATTATAATAATATTGTATAAATATATATAAAATATTATAAAAAAAATAATTAGGATAATAAAAAAAAATATAAATAATTTAAAAATTATGTTATAATTTTTTGTATTTATATGAATTTTTATAAACTTAAAAATATTTACAAATCGAAATATAAATTTATTTTCTGAATTATTTACTACATTTAAGTGTATTATTTTATCTCTACAAGTCAAATTCATAGTCCAATCTTTAAAAATCAAAAAAATAGTCTTCCATAAATCAAATTATCATTTTATCATTTTTTCAATAACAAATTACTAATTTTGTTTTTATTACAAGATTTCTATAATTGAAATATATTTTCTAAAATGATCTACTTTCTTTTATTTAAATGTTGCCCTGGAAAGGAAAGGAAACTACATTCTTTGCAATAATTTTCCAGATTTCAAGTTCCATTTATTTTACACATATATATAAACAAAATATTGCTATAAATTATTTTTAATTAATATGTATGTTTTTATCTGAATTTTACTCTAATCTAAGAAAATTCGATTGCATAAAACAAAATAAGAAATAATACATATAATATATCGAATGAAATTTAATAAAAAGCTTTTGCTAATAAATTTATAAAACAGATCAAAAGAATCTATTTTGATCTTTATTTATACGAAATTAATGATTCCGTGAATTTTCTATAATTCCGTTTTCTTGCTTCGCTTAAATATTAAACATACGATAAACTTACGTCTATTGAACATGATGAGTCACGAATGACTAATGCATATATGAACTGTTAATTTAATGATATGACATATAATCGAGATTATTTAGAATAACAAATACTATATAATTCTTAATAAAAAAAAATTTATATTAAAATAATTAACATTAAAATTAAACTTATAAAGTTATTATTTTATGATATATTATTTTTATATTCTATTTTTTAAAAATTATAATTATTACAATTTTTTTAAATATTTTTTTTTAATATTAATTTTTTCATATTTTTATTTCCAAATAAACTAATATAGAATAAAGACAACTATTTTATGAAAAAATTATAAAATATAAATAAAATAGAGATAGTCAAAGTAGATTGGATTTGTCATTGCTATAATTAGTTATTTACTTTATATTATCGCAATACTTTGAAGGATATAACTAATAATCTATACTTTCTAACATATATAATTTTTTAATGTTAAGAATATACATACATCATGTTTGCATATCATATTTATCTTTTGTTTGTTTGAAAATGAAATTTAAAATGCAGGCAATTGCATTGTATTTGAATTTAGAAAAATTTTTGTCATTGATCAAATCTGCAAAATTAAAAAATTTTATTAATTAAAAATAATCATGTAAAAAAAATTAATCAAAGATTTTTTAATATTTATTAAAAAAAAATAATTTATTTATATGTTATTGATAAAATTTTTATTTTTTATTATTATTTTTCAATTTCTAACCTCTTTAGTAATACAATTAAGTCAATATTTTCAATACTTCTTGCTCATTATTTTAAATCCGGTATGCATTTATTATCAACAAAGATATATTAGAAATGATTGATTATCAATTCTCTTCAGTTCATTCGTTTTTTAAATATATAGCAGATTAAAATAAGAAATACTGAATGAAATAAAGAAATAAAGAAAAGTTCAATACTGAAATATAAATATGAAAATGTTATTATTATATTTTTCTGCTTAAAATGATATAATTTAAATCATATTTATTATAATATTTACCATAATATATTAATTTATTTAATGAGTAAAATATAATGAGTTATATTTTATCATTATTATCATTAATATTTTATCATTAAATGAATAAATATTTAAATACAGTTGTGTTTAATATCATTATCGAAAATATTTTAATAGTTTGATTAAAATAAATTTTATAATTATAAAATAGAAAATATGAAAATTTTATTTTTCATACCTTGATAATTCATTCGTAATTTAAGATATCGATAATCAGATTACAGAGAAAATATTCGATTATTATTATTCAATTATATATCCTATAAACTTAATAAGTTTAAAGGAATTGAAATTCTTATTATTTATGTGTTTTTTTAACTCATTTAATAATTCAGAAAAATTAATTATCGTTATCTTTATCAAACGATTTCAGAGTGGAATTAACTCTTTCTTCATAGCGGTTTATTATGTATCATTAAATTTACGAAACTAAAAAATTTTCGTCTTAATGCCATGCAAAAATAAACTATTCTATATTGATTTATATGTCCCAATCATGTTTCAATAATTCGAAGTATTAAATTTTTATCATTATTATAAAATAATTTAAAAA